TTTGCCGTCACTCAACCTCCTGCTCCCCTTCCCCCTCCGCCTCCGCGCGCGCGCGCCCCCCCGCGGCTGGTGGCGCAGCTGCGGACGAGCGGGCCCGGGCACGTCGTCTGCAGCGCCATCTCCCCGGACGGCCGCCAGCTGGCGCTCTCTGATTTGTCGAAGCTCCGCGTGTACAACCTGCTGTGTGACGTGGCGGGTGGAACAGGAGGAGGAGGAGGAGGAGGGGGAAGAGGAGGAAAGGGAGCAGGAGCAGTTGGAGTTGCTGGTGGTGGTAGTGGTGGCGGAGCAGCAGCAGCAGCAGCAGCAGCAGCAGCGGCAGCAGCAGTGGGAGCGGCGGTGTGGAGGATAGAGAGGGCAAAGGGCCCGTCCCTGGGCCCGGCTGTGTGCGTGGCGTTTGCTGCTGATGGCAGGTCGCTGCTTGCCGCTGCTCCCACGGGAGAGATCGTGGTAAGGAGAGGGAAGGTTGGAGTTGGAGGGGGGGTGGGTTATAGGAAAGGCAGATGACTGACGCTTGCCTCCCGTGCTTCCTCTTCTCCCCTCCCCGCTGCTGCTGCTGCCTTCCCTGCCTCTCCCTTCATCCCTCTGCCCCTCCCTGCCTACCCCCGCCCTTCCGTTTCGCCTCATGTCTGCAGGTTGTGGCGACAGGCACTGCAGCACCAGCAGCAGCAGCAGCAGCAGCAGCAGGTGCAATGGTGTCTCCCGCACCTCGTGCAGCAGGAGCAGGCAGCAAGCGAAGCAAGTCACCAGCGGCGCAGAGAAGACCCCCGCCCTCACCATCGCCCTCCCCATCACGAGTGGTCGCATCAGCATCCGCTTCACCCTCCCCTCAAGCAACGACACCATCAGCAGCAGCAGCAGCAGCAGGGGCAGGGACCAGAAACACCCCTGCCACGTTCACCATCCCTCCGTCCCCCGTTTCCCCGAAACCCGGCGTTTTCTCTCCGGCCAACGCTGCGGCTGCATCGGCAGGGCTGCTGCGGGTGGTGCATCGGTTCCCGCCGTTTGGCGAGCAGAGGGACGGGTGCTTGCCCCCGTCTGTGCGCGTGCTTGCCACCAGCCCCTGCGGCCGCTGGGCCGCTGCTGCTGATGCGTCCGACAACACTGCCGTGTTTGATGTCAAGAGGATGAGGTGCGTTGTTGGGTGGTGGGAGGGTGAGGTGTGATGCGTACACATGCATGCGTGTGGTCGCACGGTTTTTTTTTTTTTTTTTTTTTTTTTAGTGTTTCCAGTATGTGATGCGTACACTCCGTGCCTCAGTGGCCAAAACGAACGAACAAACGCCAAGTTGAAAGCTTCCCACATGTCTTTCATCCCCGTCCACATCCTCATCCCCTTTCCCGGCTCGGCTCCTGTTCTTGTTCCCATCCCCACGTCGTCTATCTGTCCATCTCCCCCCTGTCTGTGCCCCTCTGTGTCCGCCCCGTGTGTGCCTGTCTGTCCGCAAGCAGGAAGGAGTGGGACGTGCCGCCGCTCTCCCACCCCGCGCTAGTCACAGCCATGGCGTTCCACCCCAGCTCTCGCCTGCTCATGCTCGCCACCAACACCAACTCCTTCCGTGTCTTCTTCCTCCCCCCTTCCTCCTCCCCCTCCTCCTCCCGCTCCCCCTCCTCCTCCTTAGTCCTCTCCAAGAGAGCTGCTAGGCGCAGGGATGCCAAGCTGCTGCTGCCTCCCTGGCTCCTGTCAGGGGCTGCTGCTACTGCTCCCGCTAGCTCCATAGCCCAGCAGCAGCAGGAGAAGGCTGGTGCTTCCGATGTTAGCGCCACTGCCGCCGCTGCGGCTAACGCTGCTGCAGCCGCCGCTGCTGCTGCTGCAGTGCCGTTCACAGAGACACCGTGGAGTGTGGCGAACGAGGCAGTGCTGATGCAGACGCTCCAGCTGCTGCCAGATGGTATTCGCGGCATCTCCATGTCTGCTGACCCGCGCTCGCCCATCGTTATTCTGCACAGTTCCAGGTGTGTATGTGGGCTGGGCTGGGCTGGGCTGGGCTGGGCTGGGCTGTGCTGTGCAGTGCATATGCTGATGCAGATGCTCCAGCTGCTGCCGGATGGCATCTGAGGCATCTCCATGTCTGCTGATCCGCGCTCGCCCATTGTCATTCTCCACAGCTCCAGGTGCGTGCGTGTGTGCGCGTGCCAGCCCTTGCTGTTTTGTAAGCACGGTGCAAAGCCTTTCTGCCTCCCCATACCGTCCTCTATTTTCGTCCCCCGTCCTTATTCCCTCCTCTTCATCCTCTCCCCCTTCCTCTGCACTCCGTATCTGCTGTCTCCCCGCTCCTCCCTCTTCCTCCTTCCCCTCTCCTCGTCTCTCCCCCTACTGTCCCCCCTTCCCCCCTCCCCCCAGAACCCTCTGTGTCGTGGACCTATCCGCCTGGTACTCCGCTGAGCCCTGCGTCACCATTCTCCCTCCACGCCCCCCTATCCGCCCCCTCCTCCCTCCCCCCAGGAACCTCTGTGTCGTGGACCTATCGGCCTGGTACTCCCCCGAGCCGTGCCCTTTCCCAGCCCCGCGCCGCTCCCCTCCTGCGCCGCGCTTTGTGGAGCTAGAGCACCGCCTGCTCTTCCTCTCCCACGTGGGGCCCTCGCACCTGCTGGCTGTTGAGAGGCAGTGGCGCCACGTGCTCGCCACGCTGCCGCCGCCGCTGCACAGACACAAGTTCGGGCACGGTTGAGAGGGGTGAGGGTGTGACAGGGAATGAGGGGTTGGGGCGGGGGGGTGGGTGGTTGATGAGGGGTGAAGGGGGCGGGAAGATGAGGGGTGAAGGGGGCGGGAAGATGAGGGGGGAAAAGGAGGCGATGGAGGAGGGAGGAGATGGGAAAGGGATGGGAAAGGCGGCCGGCTGATTGGGATGGGAGATCAACTGGCGGCGGGTTGCAGAGATGCAGTGCGCAGGATGGGAGGGCAGGACTGTTGGGGTCTGCACAGGGTCAGGGACTCAGGGATACTGGAGTAGAGGGTAGGAGGGGAGAAGGGGAGAAGGGGAGAAGGGGCAGAGCGCCATGGGCATGTGCCGATGCGATGCCATGCTGTTTGCCTGGGCTCCTGGCTCCAGGCATGTGCTTCCAGGCTGGGCATGGGCATGCGTGGTCTGCTTGGGCTTCTGGCTGCATGAGGCTGGACGCTGGAGGCCTGGGAAGAATTGCCAGTACATGGGGGCGTGCGTTTTGCTTGCTTTTTTTCAAGCACAGGGTGAAAGCTGCGCGTGGCGAGGCGTGGCGTGGCGTGGCTGTTCCCGAGGCGCGGCTCATGGCGCGATGTGGAGTGCGGTGGAGAATGACGGGCGGCGCTTGATGCGCATCGGAAGGAAGTTGAGGGTGGAGGGTGGAGTGTTTGTAGTGAGGGACTTTAGATGGGCCGAGGTGCCGTGCATTTGGCATCGTTGGCATCATGGCATGTGGATGGCATGGCCGTGTTTCGTTCCGGTTGGGTTGGGATGGGTTGGAGGCGATGCTTGTGATGGTGGACATGCTGGGGTGTGTGATGGGATGAGCTAAGATGTGAGAAGATGCTTTGTATTGGGAACACTGGGTGGTGGTAGCAGGTGGCTGTTGTGTGTCATGTGTCATTCCTGTTGTTCACTTTTATCAGCTGTGCTGTGTGCACGAGCTTGTTTTACAACTGCCTTGTAGCTTTACTGTCCATCAATTGGCCTGCTACATTCTTGGGAATTGAGTTATACGATTTCTTGGATGGTATCTTCTTGAGAGCCTTGGTTTGCTTGCAAAGATAGTGCAAATATTATAACGAGAACCAATAATCACAAGGTTGATGCCAATCTTACTGAATGCTGAATCACAAATCATGTTATCATGGGATGAAGCACCACCAACATGCATTTCTGGTGTGCAGATTTAATTTGGTCTTGTGGCCTCAATGATAGTTAGGTAGTGGGCATGACATAGTGTATCTCAGTGCTAAATGCCAAATCTGCCTGCAAACTCGCGCACCGCTTTCCGCCCTGCCGTTAGGTGTCATTTCCTTTCTGTCCACATTCCGACCGAACCCCGCTTTCTGCCCTGCAACCTGCTCGCGCCTCCCCCAACAGTTCCCGCCTTCCGCCTTAGGCCTGCCCCCTGATCCTCTCCGCTCCGCTTCACAATTCCCCCCGTTACCCCACATCACCCACCATCACCTTCCCCCCACCCTCCCCCCACACCCCCGCCTCACATGCCACCATCACCCCCACCTGCCCAGCCGAAACCTGGAGATTATCTAGGTTGCTACCTGCCAATTAAGGTAGTTCCACTAGATACTATCTAGGCCGCGCCTCGACCTTAGCAGCAAAGCAAGCCTCGATCTTTGCAGGGTGCACTTGGCTCGGTCGATCGATCGACTCGGAACCAGCAAGCCAACGGCCTCGCCGTGGTACCCGAACGCGTAGCTTGCACCATTTTGTGCTGATTTTTCCTGAGCCTTTCCGATGAGCCGCGATAGTGGTTCGCGAAATTTTACAAGCGCCGCGTTTCATCGCAGGTCGTTATAGTGATTTTCCGGGAGTAGCAGCTCCAGGCTCGATCTGGCTCGGAAACGGCCAGAAAAGCCATGACTGGGAATCGTCGGCTCACAATTTGGTTGGGCAGCTTTGCGGTATCGGTGGGTCGAGGTGTAAGGACCTCCAGCCTGTCCCCTGGCTCTTGATTCATTGCTATAATCGCTGAGGTTGTTGCAATTGCAACGACGGGCCAGTCGCATACTCAGCGCATCGGACAATAGAGGCCATTCACCTTCCTCTTCGGATTTCTCCATCCGTTTTACAAGTCGCAACGGCCACACTGGCCGCCGAAGCGCAAGCCAATTCCTTCCGTACATTTTTAGCGGAACGTGCGGTAATACCCACAGTTCCACTAGTTACAGGCCGTTGGATTAAGCGAGAAACGCATCCAAGGCTCGCGTGAGTCTGCCACAGATTTGCCTGCAACACTGTTGCCACGGTGTCCCTGTCAGGTCCCTAACCCTAATTTTTCTCGCGTCGGTCGGCGAAGGAGTTAAGACATAACTAATCATGCCGCTTCGAGTATCATCCCGGCGGCCCGCGGAAGCGCACACCCTGAAGAAAACCCCCCCTCAGCTCACCGCCGTGGGTTCAAGCTCCCCCTCCTCCCCGCAAGTATCTACCCCTTCCGCTGGTCTCTCCCCGCAAGTCGCCGTCCCCCGTTCCGCCTCCACCTCCGCTTCCACCCCCGCCACTCATTTCTACTCCGCTGGGCGGAGCTCTCCGCACTGCTACCCCAGCAGCGCCAGCGGCAGCGGCAATAACAGTACCAACAATACCTCAAGATCCGCCGCTAATAGCCCACAGCGGACGTTCTCCTCCGATGCTGCTGCGTACATCACGTCCCCTTCCCGCCGCCGAACCTCCTCGCCAGCCTCGGTAGCAAATTCTCCCGCCGGGCCCGTTTCGTGCAAGGGCCGGGCGAGCCGTCTGGAGTGGGCCGGGCCGAGCTCGTCAGGCTCGGCAACACCAGCAGCAGCAAGCGGCGGGGGTGGAGCAGGAGTGCGAGCAGGATTGGGAGTTGCATCAGCGGCAATTAACTCGTTCAGTCCGCGCGTGGGAAGTGCCGTGAACGGTGCGGTGACCGGGAGTACCAATGCTGACGGCAGCGGCGGGCGCAGCAGTTCGCACGGCACCAGCGCGCCTTCCGTAGCGAACGGCGCAGCGGACTCCTCTGCGCCCAGTGAAGGGAGCGCTGCTCTGTCAGACAATCCCGCCCCCTTTCCCTCGTCCGCTTCCGCCTCCGCTTCCCCTTCCCCTTCCCGTTCCGCCAAGCACTGGCCGCTCGCCACCCTTGGACTTTCCACGTCAGCTGATAACGTTGCTGTTGCGGCCTCTCCATCTGCTGCTTCCGCTGGCGGTGCTAGTTCTTTCAGTGCAAGCCATATTGGTACCAGCAGTCCGGTATCAGGTCGTCTTTCCTCCACATACCGCCCTTCCACGCACCCCCAGTCCCCCATCCGCCCGTCCGCTGCTTCCCCCTCCCCTCGCCCGTCCGCCGCTTCCCCCTCCCCGCGCCCTCCCCCGTACCGCCACGGCTGCAACTCCGCCGCTATCCGCTTCTACGTGCGCGCATTCCTGCACCTGCTCTGGTCGCTTGCCGCGGGTTGGGGCTTGGCGCTGGGGTCCATGGTCGCGTCCCCGCGGGGGAAAGGCGTAGGCGCGCACGCGCGTCCCGCGGGCAGGCGCGCACAGGCGTACCGCGGGGCAGGCGGATTCGGGGCGGGATGGGGCGCGGGTTTCGGGGGAGGGGGCCTTGGCGGAGGGTTTGGGGGGTTGTGGGGCGGGGGAGGAGGGGGGATAGGAGGAGGCGGAGCATTTGGGTCTCTACCCGTGATTCTAGGACTGGTGGTGACGTCGCTGCTACTCCTGAACCACGCAGCTCATATAAGGCAATCCGCGTTAGAAGCAGCCACGGAGGGCACGAGCCGGTCGCGGTTGCTCGCGGCACAGCAGCAGCGCGCGGCGGCGGTAGCAGCGGCAGCCGCAGCGGCCGCAGCCGCGTCAGGAGGCAAGGGGCCAGCAGGCGGCCGAGGGTTGGCTTTCGAGGGGAGAATGGGCGCATCCACGAATCTAAACCCGTGTGTGGGCGCGGGTGGTGCGGATGGTGGGGGAACAGCATGGCGGCAAGGGGGAGGAGGCAGCGTGAGTGGGGCTGGCAGCAAGACGGGGGGTTATGGGCGGATGAGGAGGCTTGCTGACTGGTTTGGGTCGCTGGTAGGATCCCGGACAGATGCTGCTATGGAGGAGGAGGATGAGAGACGCATGGCTAGGGCGAGGATAGGCGACCGGGAAGCAGCAGGCAGCAGAGCGGGTGCACGAGCAGGGGCGAGCGCAGGAGCAGGGGCAGGGGGAGCGGAAAGGGTAGAAGGGGCAGGAAACGGAGACTCTGAGAATTCCGACGATCCGTCCTCTTCTTCTGCTTCCTCTGTGCCATGGTTCCCGCCAATCCCGTCCTATATGAGCACGCCGCCTATAGTCATCTTTGCAGCGCCAGAGCCTTTCTCCACGGAACCCAGGGACCCCCAGCTCATCGCCCTGCGCTCCTGGCTGCACCTGGCGCCAGCTGTCCGCGTTGTCCTATTAGGCTGCGACGACAGCCTGGTCCGGGCGGCAGTGCAGCTCAGTGCCGCCCTGCCGGGCGCGTACCGGCAGGGGGGGTTTGCGCCAGTGGCGGCGGATTTGGAGGTGGAGTGTAACCTGTTTGGCGTGCCGCTGCTAGGGTCGGTGTTGCATAGGATGGCGGTGAATCTGCAACGCATGCAGGACGCGGCTGCTGCTCACGCCATTGCTGCTGCCGCCGTCGCTGCTGGTGATTCTGCTGCTGCTGCTGGTGCTTACGAGAGTGTTGGAGAGGGAGGAGCGGATAGTGCTGCGGAGGTTGGTGACTGGAACTCCGACTCTTCCTCCTCCTCCTCCTCCGCGTCTGCTCATGTTCTCCTGCCCGAACCCCCCATAGCGCTCCTGGTCAAGGCAGACGCTATTCTCCTCTCTGACGTCGTCCCTTCTCTGATCAAACTCGCCTCCTCCTTCCCCACTCCACCCCTTCCCCCAGCCACCCCCTCCTCCTCTCCTTCCTCCTCTTCCTCCTCCACCTCCTCCTCCGGCTCCACCTCCTCCTCTTCTTCCACTGCCGCATCTGCCGCTGCTGCCACGTCAGACCGCCGCCCGCCGTCGTGGATGGCAGCAGGCGCCAGCTGGCAGGTGGGCGGCGCGGATGAGCTGGCTCTAGATCTGGTCATGGGCATGGCCGCAGCAGCAGCAGGCGGGGGAGGAGGCGGAGGGGGAGGGGCAGGGGGAGGGGCAGGGGGAGGGGGAGCGGGAGGGGGAAACGGAGTGGGGGAAGTGGATTTACCCGGGGTGATGGGGGAGGGGGTGGAGGACCAGAGGGTTCTGGAGCGAATGGCGGATGGCGGAGGGATGGAGGGGGAGGAGGAGGGGGGGGAGGGGGAGCAGCAGCAGCGTATCGGGACGGATGGCCAGGGGAAAGGCTCTGGGGGCGCGTCAGCGGGGGATTTGACCGAGGAGGAGAGGGCGTGGGTGCGTGTGCAGGGGAGGGTGCGGCAGCGGGTGAGAGGCGGGGGGGTGTTGCAGACGCGAGGGGCGAGTAGCTGGTGGGCGTGGGGGGGAGGCGCGGCTGCTCTGCGCTGGTTTGCGTCCTCTCCCCGCCCGGTTCCGCCTCTTGCGTTTGGGCACGGGACGCTGTTTGATGCTTGGATCACGGCGCGCATGGTGGCGGTTGGCAGGGGCGTTGCTGCAGCAGCAGTGGCGGCTGCAGCGCAACGGGCTGCCACAGCTACTGGTGGTGGTGGTGGTGGTGGTGGTGGTGATTCTAATGCCGGTGCTGCTGGTGCTGCTGGTGCTGCTGGGGTTGACGGGGCGGCGTTTGCAGAATTATCCCTCGCCGCATGCTTTGTAGACAATCCCAGCCCTGTTGGCTCGGTTGCCGGTGCTGCCAGCCTCCACCCGTCCCTCTCACTCAACCCACACGTCCCCTCCAATGCTCACTCACGCTCCGCCCTCACACCATCCCTCTCCTTCCCTGCTACAGCTGCTGCTGCTGCCGCCTCAGCAGCAGCAGCAGCCGCGGCCTATGCCGCCTCGTGCCCGCCTCCCTTTGTCGACGCCAGCGACGTCGTCACGTGCTTCCACCTGGCGTCGCGGGATTGGGTGCGGCGGGTGCTGCCGAAAGGCCGGCCGTGGAGCACGGGGGCAGTGCAGGGGGGGAGGAAGAGGAGGACTTCACAAATGGGCCGTTGGGAGCCTGCAGCTAATGAGTTTCTACTAGCCACGGCTGGGTGTTTCGGGAATGGGACCTGCGCAGGGGATGGCATGGGGGGGTTGGTAGGCGCAGGGGCGCTGGTGGGTAGAGGGAAGGGGGCGAGGGGGAGAAGAGGGGGGGTGAGTGCGGGGGAAGAGGAGGCGGCAGGTGTGGCGATGTGGCTGGGGGGGGATGGGAGGGAGCTGGCAAGGAAGAATGGCACTGCGCATCATGGCACGTGGTCGCTCATGGCGTGTGCTGATACCAGTGGTGAGCTCATGGCATGTGCTGATACCAGTGGTATACAACGTTGCCCACATGGGAGTCTTCATACATAGGGAGGATGACGCATCTGCTCACCTCTGGCGTTCTCTGTTTCTGATTTCTTTCTCATACACGTACTCATCCGAAACACAATGCCCCCCCCTCCCTCGTCCCACCTCTCCTGCACTCCATCCCTCCTGTACTGTACTCCCCTCCCCACCTTCTGCCCGCTCCCTCCTTACCCTTCTCCCCTCTCCCGTCCCCCCTCTCCCTTCCCCACTCTTCCCTTTCCACTCTTCCCATTCCCGTCCCCCCTCCACCTTCTCCTCTCCCGTCCTCTTTCTCCCTTCCCCCCTCGCCCCCATCCGCTCGCAGCCAATCACGTGTGTCTGAAGCCGCGCCTCCGTCCGGCCATCTGCGCGTGTGACCTCGCACCCTTCACACCCGCCTCCCAGGGCGACCCCACCCTCAACGCCCACAACCGCTGGATCTGCGATTCCCCCGACGACCCCTCCTCACCCACCTCGCCCTCCCACGCACCGCACCCCACCGCTCTCATCGACCCTGCTGCCGCCAAGGCAGCCGCTGCAGCCCCGGCGAACGACCGTGCTGCTGCGTCCCTTCTCAAGCAAACCCCCGTAGTTCCCATGGAAGATGTGTTACCGCTCGTGGCCCTGCGGGAACCCGGCGGAGTGAAAGTCGTGGTGCTGGTTGCGGTGACCTTTGGCTACGCACACATGCTCATGAATTTCTACTGTAACCTCCGTCGCCTCGGCTTGGGGAACCGGCTCGTGGTCGCAGCCCTTGATGCTGATCTCTACCGGTTTGCTTTCTCCCAGGGCCTTCCGGTGTATTATGAAGGCCCGGCGGCGGCGGGAGGGGCTGGGGGCGGCAGCGCAGGGGGGGTGAAGGTGGGGGAGGAGGCGTGCGAGTATGGCACGCTGTGCTTTAAGAGGTTCACGAAGCTTAAGTCGCGAGCAGTGCTGCGTGCGCTGCGAGCCGGGTACTCAGTGTTATGGACCGATGTGGATATTGTCTGGTTCTCCGATCCTCTCCGGGACCTGCTCAGGTTCGGGCCCGGGACGCTGCCGATCCAGAGCAACGAGCCGGACGCGGCGCGGCCTCCGCACGGGAAGCGTAGGATTAATTCCGGGTTTTACTTTGGGAGGAGTGACGAGGCGACGATTGCTGCGTTTGAGGCGATCGTGGCAGCGGCAGCCAAGACGGAGCTTTCAGAGCAGCCGAGTTTCTATGATGTGCTGTGCGGGGAGAAAGGGCAGAAGAAGGTGCGGGGCAAGGCGCAGTGCTTGTGGAAAGGCATCAGTGTGACGAGTGCGGGTGGGAAACAGAAGACCACTCCGGTCGCCGTGCGAACCATCTTTCTCGACAGAAAGAAGTATCCGAACGGGGCTGTGCATGGGTTTTGGGACGCGGCGAACGTGAGCGAGGCGTGCCGAGAGGCGGGCTGCGTGATTCTGCACAACAACTGGATCAGTGGGAGGGGCAGCAAGGAGAGGAGGCTGGCACGGCATGGGTTCTGGCAGTATGATATTGACGGGCGGAAGTGTTTGGACCAGCCGTTGAGTGAAGAGCAGCTAGTGGCAGAAGAGGAGGCGAGAGCCGGGGGGAGTGGGTTTGACAGTGCTTAAGGGAAGAAAGGAAGTTGATGGCGGGAGAGCTGGGTTGCGCCAGGAAAGGGGCGTTTGTTTGCCGGATGATGTGCTAGTTTGGTTGAGGAAGGTCCTGCTTTAGTTTTATGTATTCATGTCAGTACATCGCCTATTGATTGAAAAAAGTGTTACGAATAGTAATACTTGAATATTACTGTGCACTCCTCACCGCAGCAAAGAGAAGCACGCAGTATCGCGAATGAACGCGAAGCGTCAGACGGTTGGAATCGACTCGAAGCGTCAGACAGTTGGGACGCATCTGGACCATCGGAGCAGACAGCATCAGGCAGCTGCAGGCAGGATGGTTTCGGCGGGAACAGTTTCGTAACTGTTCGCGCCGCACGGTTGGGAATGTATTTGAATAAGGGAATGTACCCCTTAGAGTACATCGCTAGCTAGGTCGTTTCATCTCCCCTGTACTCATATTTTTATTTGCTGTATTTGCATGTTTTAAATAATCTCAAAGCATTTTACATTCACTCTGCTATTGAGGTCAAGGGCCCACCAACATCACTTCTCTGCGTGCGAACCTTCCTGAGTAGATCCTAGGCCACGATCAACTTCTGATCGCAGCATGGTATGAGAGCGGCTCAGGAATCCTTCGCACTGCCACTCCCGAAAATTACGACATTCGGAAAGTGGCGTCCGGCACACGCTCGCGTGTGAGAATGGCCGGAGGATCTGGTGGTCAGACGAATCTGACGGCTGAAGTGCAGCCCAACCCGGCTGCGACAAGCGAGGAAACGACGACGATCCCTTCCGCCGTCCTCGCACAACTGCTTCAGCGACTCACGAGCCTGGAGCAAGGACTCCAAACATTGCGGAATGGCGACGCGGGAACCTCTTCCCAACCCACTCAACCGGCGTCAAACGGCCAAAACTCCGCCCCGCAAGGCTTCTCCCTAGATACGAATGGCTCAACCCCCAAGACTCCCTGTCCCAGCGATGAAGCAATTCTCTCCGCGCAATCAAGGTTTTTGAGCATATCAAAAATAAAGACAAGTGTGTGCTTTGACGGCAGAGACTTTTACACCTGGAGCTTCGAGCTGGAGCTGCTGCTGCAAAACGCGCAGATTTATCATTATTTCGACGGGAGCTACTCGGGACCTGCTGAGGACACCGACGACGCCAGGACTCGCTATTATAACGAGTCCCTGATGGCGTACGGGATTCTTCTGCGTAACATGTCGCCGGCGGAGCAGCTGAACATTCGTTCATACAAGACATCGGCTGCCCCAACCCTCGACGCTTGGCGCCACCTGAACGGCGTGTATCAGCCCAAGGACTCCGTCTCCTCGAGCCGACTACTCCAGCAACTGCTGGAAACTAAGATGACCTCAGGGGAGAAGGTCAACAGCTACATCAACCGCTGTCGGAGCCTTCGCGATCAAATCGTGAAGTTGGGAAGCTCGATTTCCGAGGAAATCTTCGTGAACATTGTGCTTCAAGGGCTTGGCCCAGAGTGGCGGCCCTGCAAGGCGCTCCTCCGACAGCAGGGGGTCATCTCGGAGGCCGCCCTTTCCGCCGCCCTTCTCGTCGAACAACGGGATATGGATCAGCAGCGACCAGCGCCACGACGAGAACGCGAACGGCTCGCCTTCTACGCCGACAACAATGAAGAGCGACGACCGCGGCGCCTCTACTGCAAAATCTGCAGAAACTTCGGGCATTTGGCGGATCGATGTAAGTTCCGATCTCGCCCTCGCCAGACCAATCCGAGCAACTGGTCCGGCCGACAAGACGCACGAGGCGACGTGCGTCCAGCCCAAGGGTATCAACCCCCACCCGCGCGCAATCTGAACTCAACCGTTCAGCATCAGCAGCAGCAGCAGCAGCCATCAACTGCCCCTACGCGCAACGTCATGAGCAACATGGCCATGACAGGCGAGTCACGTCGTCGCCGTGTTCGCTCACCCTCACCTGAGCCAGCACCGCACCCCATCGGCGCGTTCACCAACAACAACCCGTTCAGCCCGCGCCGCGACTTCAACGACGACGACGACCAGGACTGGAACCTCCCAGTCCCGCCGCTTGAAAGTCCTCCGCACATACCAGACATGCGGGTGGCGCCACTTGATTGGCTCTCGCGCGAGCAATTTCTGAAGTTCGACACCCCGCACATCGTCACACCGCGATTGGCGCTGCTCGCACGTGACGACAACAAGCGCTACAACACCTGGTACCTGGACAGCTGCTGCGGCCAGCATACAGTGGGCTCCGAGCGTTACATATCCAACGCCGTCCCCACCCCTACAGTGACTTACGTCACTGTGGCGAACAACACGCGCCTGCGCGCACGCGCACAAGGCATTGTCGTGCTCAAGGCACGTGGAAGCCGCACGCACATCACGCTTAACGATGTGCTGATCGTTCAGAACCTGCGCTTCAACCTCCTGTCCGCCACACAGCTCATGGACTGCGGCGTCGACCTCAGCACGGATCGCGCGACGCGAGACATCCTGCTGCACTACGAATCGCGTCCGCAGGCAGATCGGACGAGCGCACTCCGAAAATGGAGTGTATGTCCTAGATTTCGACATTCCCGACTGCAGCGGCGACTCGCACGAGTTGATTGATCTCGTGCCACTGCGCTTCGAGCACATCCACCGCAGGGATTGGAAGCACCCTGACGGTAGACCGTGGGTGCCGCATCATCCCCACCCACGCGAAACGGCGTTACACAACCCCGATCCAGATGGCATCTGCAGGGATTGTTACACGCCGACGACATCAACGAGCGCGATTGCCGGCCGCGGACTCGCTACCATCGCTGAAGCAGAGCGCCACGCGCCCCCAGAGGAAGGGATGTCGCAGCTCGAGCTTGAAGTTACTACCCACGGCATTTTCGGCACGCCAGAGCATCCCCTCATCGGTCCCCCCTCACAGCACCTTCAAGGCATGCTGCGCGGAACTGGCGTCGGCACCTTTGATGCCCATGGCGAGCCGCGACCCTACACCTACGAGAAGTTTCTGGCCATCTACTCTCATCGACGCGACTCGTCGAAGAAACTCACCGTGGAGCAAGAGGAAGAATTGGCGCGCCGCGAAGCTGAGGAGCTTCGCCAGCAAAGCCTCGCAGAAGCACGTGGGACCTTCGCTTGCGCCACCTGGGGAGCTGAGGCTGAAGAAAGTGCCTCCAATGAAGGGGGGTGGGGGAGCGCTGGAGGATGGGGAACAAGTGACACTAGCGGCTGGGGAGACAACGGCGGAACCTGGGCCAACGCGAGCGGCGGATGGGGTGCCGCAACTAGCGCCGACAATAGCGGCTGGGGTACTTTCCGCGAAGAACGAAAGGGGGGAGAGGATGAAGCTGAGGAAACTGAGGCAACACCTGCAGTCGTTCCTCTTGGTCGTCCCCCGCGTCACATTCCACTCGCACCACCTCCTCTTGACAACCCCCCGCGTCGCGATCCATGGGACACCATCATCTGGGGCAACGAGCCGTCAACCCCGCGTCGCACCGTCTACGGACCTGCCCCTGAGCCACGCGAACCCACCTTCGTCCCTGGAACCATTCCCGGGACCAACATTCTGCTCTCTGAGATTCGCAACAGAGAGTTCTTGGCGATGATGCTGACTACCGCGCCAGAAGAAGAAGAAGCAGAGGGAGTAGCAGCAGAACCTGCTCCTGTACCTGACGAAGACCCTGAGGAAGCGCGCGCGCGCTACATGCGCACCTCCGGCTTTCGCGCCGACGATACTCTCTGGCACCAGCGCCTCGGAGACCCTTCACGCGCGACGCTGAAAAACTGCATCGACGCAGGCGTCTTCGCTCCTGGCGCACTCCTGCGCCCTGATGGCTCCGAAGTGAGAGGCGCGACACATCCGCGCAACTGCACCGTCTGCCCCGAAGCTGCGCTGAGCCACCAACCGTTCCCGCTGCTCGAACCTGGAACGAACCGCTACCCCAAGCTGCACAAGGTGTACAGCGATTTCCTGAACGTGGGGCATTGCGGAGTCGAGGACGAAATGTACACGCTCACCTTCATCGATGCTGGAACGCGCTACGTGTGGGTCGTGAACGTGGAGTCACGCGACAGAGCCTACGAGGTGTTTCGCCTCTGGCTGGCGCACGCAGAGCGACAGTCTGGGAAGAAGCTGAAAATCTGGCAATCTGACGGCGCGGCAGAATTCAGGAGCAACCAGATGCAAACCTACCTCACGCAAAAGGGGATCGAGCACCACATTTCTCTCCCCTACGCGCACCAGCAGTAGGGCGTAGCTGAGCGGACGAACCGCACGCTAATGACGAAGGTGCGCGCTCTGATGAAGCAGTCGAAATTGCCGCCGATCTACTGGACCTACGCGATGCACCACGCCGTGCGGGTGCACAATCTACTTTCGACCACCGCCATCATCGGCAATCTGTCCCCGCACGTCAAATGGACCGGGACCAAAGGGGATACCTCCATGCTGCGCGTATGGGGGTGCATGGTTCAATACCGCCCGCCGACTTCAACTATCGGCAAATTCGCCAGCCGCGCTAGGGGATCCATCTCGGCATCAGTCACGAGTACAAGGCGTGGATCGTGCTGGATCTCCTCAGTCAGAAAATCGCTCACGCTCGCGACGTCATCTTCTACGATCGCCTCTTCCTCGACCAGTTCCGCCGCGACGAAGAAACGAACGCGAACCGCGTGTCAGATTTATATGACATAGCTACTGTAGGCTATAGTGGGGTAGCACATATGGGGTACAGTTTTCTAGGGTTTGCTTTTGTACCCAACTTTCCCTTAGTCAATTCATTTCTCATTTCTTCACATGGTATAGAGCAGGTTCCCTAGTGGGAACGCTTCCTTGGGCCCACCACTGAAACCTTTTTTTTCTGACCGGAGCGACAGTCGCTCCTGCCCGAGGCGCGCCTTGTGGGCCGCCCTTCTGTCGAGCTCTCTTAGAGGCCCCTCTCACGGCCCCTCGCGCCACCCTTAGCGGCCCCGTCGCCGCCCCTAGCGGCCCCGTTGCCGCCCTTCCAGGCCCCT